GCAGGCCGCGCCGCCCCCGGGGCACACCAAACCCGGCGGCGGCCAGGGCCCGACCGCCCCCACGGCACCGGCCGGCGAGCAGGGACTGGAGCAGCCACCTCACACCCCTCCCCAGACTCCGACGCCCCCCAGTACTCCGCCTTTAGGAAAACAGAACCCCGGCCCGCCCGCTTCTCAGACCGCGGCGGGGACTAACCCTGAGACTGCGCAGCCACACGCCGGAACCTTACCGAGACCGAGACCAGTACCAAAGCCCAGGAACCGGCCCAGCATGCCTCCGCCCCCACATCCCCCTGGCGCCCACTCCGCAGGGGACGGCACCCTCAGCAACGCAGCTGCCACTGCCTCCAAAATAGTAACGGGTAAGTGAGAAACTGCTCCCCGCCCACACTCCGTTGTCTCTGTCCCCTTCCATCTAGGCCTGGGTTTACAGCAGGGGGCAGCCAGCCTTACGCCGGCCACATCTGGCCCATAGCCAGCCCGTTTTTGCCAATGAAGTTTTACTGGGACACAGCGGCTCTGATTTGTCTACATATCGTCTCGGGCCGCTTTTGTGCTAACATAACAGAGTTGTATAGTCAGAGATTATTGGGCTCGCAGAACCTAAAAATATTTAGTGCCTGGCCCTTGAAGTTAGCTGGCCACTGACTTATGGTTTCATTATGTGTCTAAGACCTCCTACATTGACATTTTTCTAAGTGTAACGGCCTAATCCACGTGGAAGGTACTGGACCACACAAGCATGAAATTCATTTCTTCCTCATTAGGATACTTATTTTCCTTCTAAAGGTAAAAATGTTCATAGTGAAGCATTTCAGGTGTAACTTTAAAAAACAGGGTCTGTGCCACTTCGGATGCCCCAGGAAGGGAGATCTTGGGGGGGCGATCACATCAGAGTTCGGCCTCCAGGGGCGGGGGAGGGAAGGATTGACATTTTCCCATAATGCCCATGGAAACCTGTTTCCGGTGGTGATGATGGTACAGATTTCAGCAGGCCACCTGACGGGGTGTTTTTATTAAAAAACCCAGTCGAAAACAGTCGAGCATGTATTTAATTGTGATTTCTTTTAAAAATTCCACCCTAAGTGTTCTAATACACTATTTGATTTAAGGGTGAGGTAGATGGGGGTTTTTTAAATGTGTTTTTTTTAAATGGCAGTTAGGAGCTTTGAATCACAACAGTTTAATTTTCCATTTTCTACGTGGGGCTAGTTTTAGAGACGAGGTGGAATATACCTCTGGGCTGTGCAGCTCTACTGCGTGACTTGTCTGCTGAAAATGAGCCAATGGTGTACCCCAAACTGGGGGTACTCCAGATGATGAGGGTTAACCCACTAGCCTTCTGATAACCTTTTTTCTCCCCCAGGAACATACTGCATAACTTGCACGTATTATAAATGGTTAATAACGTATGATGACACTCCAGCTTTTATTTTTAAAAAACAAAGCCACATTGGTGTGTTTGTTTGTTTGTTTCCCAATAGATGCCCTTCCTAGTGCCCTCACAGGTGGGGAAGGTTCCCAGGACTAAGGTCTGTAACCCCCCCCAGCAGCTCGCACCAAGCTCCATACGCTCCTGCTTAGCCGTGTTTTGCAAATGTGCTTTTGACCACGTGCTCAGGAGCAGCTACCGGACCCCCCTGCCGTCCATTCTGTAGCATGTGGACGTTACTTTTGTTCTTACCAAAAGCATTTTGAGCTGCAGTGCTCCAAATTCGAGGTAGCTGTCAGTAGATTGAGAACCCGATTTCAAGCCGCTCACCTAAGATGCTAGGAGTGCCTTCTTTCTTGTTGGTAAGCCTTTTGTAAGTGTCCTGCTCTTCCCAGTGACTTCCCTGTCGTTGATTGGCTCATCACGTCCAACCAAAGAGGACTCGGGTGCAGTCAGCACAGAAAATTGTGTTCCTTGTGTCTTGAGCTTTAATTTGTAATTGTATATCTTAAGTGCGAGTTAACTGCATGGAGCTTCTTAATTTGATGTTTGAAATTCTCAGGACCAAACCAAACAAACAAACCGATCTTCTTCCAAAGATCCCACACTAAATTCCTTTGCGTTCTAGCACGCTTACATTTTGCTTTCTTAAACCATACGAGCTTTTCAAAAGGCACCGTTAGCCTCATCTGAGCCGGGTCCACATTTGGACGCCTTAGGGCTCTCGTCATGCGTACCATTGCTCTAATCGGCTGATCTGAGCCTTAAACCCTTGGTGGGATACTTCGCCAGCGTTCGCAGCCTCGGTCTGAGTAAGACTTTCTGTAGAAGCCAGAAAAGGAAATGAGTGAGGCCTTAAAGGCGTGGATTCCACATCCTGACTCCTTATAACCCAGCAGTCTGGGGTTGCCCCACTGGGTATGGAAGTCGTGCACCAGAGTGACACGACTAAACCCTAATTAAGGCTGAGCCTTTTAACGTTTCATGACACCAGCATTTCACCCGCAGTTCTTTCCTTTTACGTAGATAGGAAAACTACAAACTGGAATCACGTCTGTTCTTTAAAACCGTTCCCACCTCACATGTGTTTATTCCAGAAAACTATCTTATTGATCCGGTACAACACTGTAATGCTCTGTACTTTATCAGATCAGGGAAATTTTATATGAAAGTACTTTGCCTTAAGATATTACCTAAGTATTTAAAAATCTATGTTATGAATTCTCCTAAACTCAAGAAATCCCAGGCCACCACAATTATTTTTGTATTGCGGGAAGTAACTTTTAATTGCCTAAAATCGCCTGGACTGCCATTGGGAGCACACAGAAAGCCCCGTTTAGGATTCATGCATCCACTAGTATTGAGCAAGCTGCTATTATGAACCATTCTTGGGTATTTCAAGAAGAAAAACAATGTAACTTCCTTGGAAGGCCATCCTTTATTATGACATTATGTTTTCATGTGGAAAACCGTAGACAGTTTCCTAAAAACAGGTTATTTGCTTAGAGCATTTAATCCTAAAAAGTTGAATTACAGCCTGGGGATTAGGATAAACCCTTGGGGGAGATCGATGCCGCCAAGCAGATTTGATCGCCATCGTCTAGCGGCCCAGCACCAGCACAGGAGAACGGAGGGATTCTGATGTCCTCCGAAGCTCCTCTTTATTGTTACTGTAGAAAGCGCGCAAGCCTTTCAGCTTTGAAAGTAGAAGAGTTTGCATCTTGCTGTTTTTAAAGGAACAGATTTTAGCCAAGAGTGTTCTAATTGAAACATTTTATTAAATAATTTAGATGTATGACCTGCCATATTCAGTAAGAACTCAAATTGGAATATTTAATGGTAAGGAAAAGGCACCTGATTGGCCAAAGCTTTTGTGCTCCTTGATGATCGTTACTCGTGCGCTAACGCCTGTTACTAACCGGGCACCCTAACCCTGCCTGCTTGCATCCCTACTAACAGTGCATGTACTAAACGATGCTGGCTTCGTTCATGCTTGCTCTCGATCACTCTGAGTACTAAGTGTGTTCACAGACGTGTGTGACAGGTGGTCACAGGGCCGGCCTTGTGCCTTCTCTAATTTCTGTCCTTTTCTGTACCAGGCAGGCTTGAGGTGTAGTAGAAAGACTTTGTGGACTTGGGCCCGAATACGAAGTTCAGCTCTCTGTGTAACGTCAGGCAAAGGCACAGCCTGGCTGATCAGTTAGAGGGTGACATTTGTGAGAATTTTTGTTGAAGGGATTGAATCAGATAAAATAAGACGTCTTACAGTTCTCAGCATACACTGGGTCCTAAGTGAATGCTAGCGATCTGTGATCATGTTTATCTTGGAAAAAACAGATAATCAGAGTTATGTCCTACACTCATAGGTCAGCGCTTTAAGAATGCATATGCCCAGGGGCACCTGGGTGGCTCCGTAGGTGAAGCGTCCAACTTAGGCTCAGGTCGTGAGCTTGCAGTTTGTGAGTTCGAGCCCCACATCAGGCTTGCTGCGGTCAGCGCAGAGGCCGCTTCAGATCCTCTGTCCCCGTCTCTCTCTGCCCCCCCCCCGACTTGTGCTCTCTCAAAAAAATAAATAAATAAAAATAAAAATAAAAAAACCCAGCCACAGGAGGGCACCCATATTTAGATTCTAATGCACCATTTGATTTTCCCAATAGCAGTTCTTTTGTGGGTTAAAAAGACAGTGCTCAGGAGAAGAAGATATTTCTTACTATTTCATGATATTTCGTGAGCCTGAGAATACGTATCCCCAGGGCTGCCGTCCGCTGTGCGATGGTACGTCCTGTTGCTCTCGGGGCCGCCACTCAAAACTCAGCACTTTGCTGGTTCTCACAGTGTTGTTTTTTTTGTTTTTTTTTTAAAAACTAACCTCTTTTTACATCCTGAAAGTAACACATTTTAAAAAATTAACCATAGGTATTAAAGAAAATTTGGAAACTAGAAATGATAAGCCACGCTGCTACAATTGAAGAAGTTCACTACTTATATTCTGAGTTTTTCTCTATTTTTTCTTTCCTAAAAGTCCAGGGTGTGTGTGATCATGGCTTTTGATCCTGCATTTTTCATTTTACCTTACATCATATGCCCCTTCCCATGTTACGATGTTTTTACAACCCATCTTCTCAATGACTGCATGATATGAAGCGGGTTTATTTTTGCTCATAGTTGGACATTTTTAAGTGGCTCCTGCTTCTCTTTGCAGGTTATTTTTAACAAATAGATACCAGAATCATGTCAAGGTGAATATCCTAGTGAGACTTGAGCAGAATCTCTCCTTTGTAAAAATAATAAAAAGTTGACGCAGAGTCTCTGACAGACTGGAAAGTCTCCGACAGCCCTAGCGAGCCGCTGCGGGGCAGAAGGGAGTCATTCTCTCAGACAGATGGGTCAGGAGGTGGGGTAGGTCACCCCACAGTTGTGTCTGCAAAGTGTAATTCCAAGGGTGTGTTTGGAGTGGCCGGGAGAATACCCTTGGACTGTCTGGGGGATCAACTGACAACCTAAAGCACGTGTTCACAATTGTTGACGTGATAAACCTTTCGGACCGTATCCTCAATCACAGGGTGCCCGTTCTGGCCCCCCAGGAGCCCACATCCTTGATACAGATACTCAAAACAGGAAGGAATTCACTTAGATTTGTCCAAACCCCACATCAGGGGTGATGTTCTGCCTGAGTGGAAGGAGCATCCTGGGCATCTCTTTTTGTCTTTTGCTTTTTAATAAGACATCAGTCCTGTGAACTTAGCTCCGAGCTGTATGCTCAAAGACCAGCCCTTCTTAGAACGTATCTAATGAAAAATGATGCCTTATGTAAATTCGCAGCCAGAAAGTTTCAGAGGCATTTTTTTTTTTTTTTTTTTTTTTTTTTTTGAAAACACAGAAAAGAGTTCCTGCGGGAATCTTTCTAAAATAACCTTTTCCTCATTTTTACTACAGTGAACCAGAGCGTTTAAGACTCACGCATTATCTCCTCAGATACCATCTTCTCTGTCAGGACCCTCACCCGAGGACACACAGACTCCTGTCGGGAGGAGGGAAGCGCTGTGTCAGTTAGACCCCACAGTCCAACCGGTGTGGCTCCGATCCTCTGAGGGGTTGAGTCTCTCCGAGTCCCCCTTTCTTACCTCCACGGTGGCATTGCTGCTGCCGTGGAGTTATTTCGTGTGGAGGTGTCGGCGAGTGCCGTGATGACGTGTGTGCAACGCTTAGCACCGTCTCTGGGAAACGGCACCCTCCCCATGGTGGCAGCCGTTGTGACAAAGAGGAGTCTCCTTCTGGAAGCTGGCTCTGCCCCCGTGCCTCTTTGTTGCATGTAAACGTTACCTGTTGCATGTGAACGGATCTGCTGTCTTCTTTTTAAAAAATGGTTCATGTAAGAGAGAGAAGGGGGGCTGGGAAGTAACGTACCTGCCAACCTCAGGCAAACCAGGCACAGCAGGCAGGAGGCAGAGGGAACTTCCCTTAGGCTCCCCTTCATGTTTTTTCCCTGGGTGTGGAGGTCGTGCGTGCTCATCAAAAATAGAGGAATTCTGGGAAGTACAAATCCAGGCATTCTTTATATGTGATGTAAAAAAAGAAAAAGAAAGGTAGTAAGTTTGTCCTCTGAGAAGGATCTGCGGCCCGTCGGTGTTGGTTTGCACATGCACCCACCTGTTAACAAGTAGGAACCTACCCAGTGCGTACGGTGCCCGTGCATCACGCACCCCCACCGGGTGTGGCGGCTCGGCAGTCTCTGGTAGACTCTTTGAGCTAAAAAGAGACGCTGACTGGTTGCGCCATCTGTCTTGTCGGGTTAGGACAATGGTAAGGGGATTGAATTTGCAATGCAGTACGAGTCTTGTCTCTGAGACACGACTGCTCTGCCTGAGGCAGTAGGAGGGGAGGATTGGGAAGGTGGCCGGGCTGGATGACTCTTCACCATCCATCCCTGCAGCTGGCCAGCCGTAAAACTGATGGAGCGTCAGCCATCATCCAGTCACTGTTCTAGGCATCAGGGAGGCACTGAACAAGACAACAAGTACAGGAAAAGCGTCTCTTAAGCATAACGGGAAAACTCCCCAGCACACCCACCCCAGCCCGGCAGCGTGAAACCACAGCAGATCCGAACATCTCCCTTCTCTCCTGCACCAGCCCTGACACCTCTCAGCTGGCTCTCACAATTTTCTAGAACACACACCTACTAGAGAGACAAAGGATTCTGTCTTGACAAGGGGCTGTCTCCCCCAGTCAACTGCCGGCTTCATTAAAGCCGTGTCTGGCTTGTCCACTGTTGTGCCCTCACAGGTGGGTGCTCAGTGAGCACTTGTTCCTGAGTGAGTGCATCTGAGACTCCCCGGCCTCACTAGGAGGAGGGCTGTGGTAGGTGACGATGTCTTTTGTGAGTTTAGGAGTGAGGGACCGACGGCTCGAGGATTGTGCGTTGCCCTCTTGCTAACGGAATTCTAGCCAACATAAGACAAGAAAAAGGAACTGGAGTATAAGTTAGGAAGACAAGAGAAAATACTTGTGGGATGTTGGCGATCCCCCTGTGATTGTCAACCAGCGGTTGTTGCCAGGGGACATTTGGAAGTATCTGGAGACATCTTTGTCACCCTGGGGGAGAGGGGGCCGTTTGCCAAGGCATCTAGGGCATCAAGGGCAGGGCTGCTGCCGTGCACCCTGCAGGCAGCCCCGCAAGCCAGAACGATCCAGCCCCGAATGTCACTGGTGGGAGGCTGGCGTAGCATTGCTAAGAGGAATAACCCCTCAGTCCCGGAGGGAGGGGGCTGTCTCCAGTGAAACACACCTGTCCCCGCGGCCCAGATGTTGTGAGGGGAGTTCCGTTAGTGCAGCAGAGGGCTTGGCGAGAATGAGGTTTCCTCTCCTCGGTCAGAGCGAGCACGCGCTGCAAGGCTGCATCCGAGAGCTGCCCTGGGGTCTTGGAGGCTTGACCGCTGCTCCCAAGGGCTCATGGCGGCTCTAGCACGAGAAGGCGTGTGTGCATGGGCTGACTTGGACTTTCCGGCTCCCCTTCCTCTCGGAGCGCCCCCGGGCGGCTTCGGCATTACCACACGCTGATCCCGTGTCTCCTGTTTTTGTCCAGACACCAGTTCTAGAGTTTCAGAACCGCTTCGCAGCACCTTTCCTGACACGCATTCAGACTCCGCAAGCAGAGACGTGCCCGGGCGCATTCTGTTGGACATAGACAACGACACGGAAAGCACCGCCCTGTGAAAGAAGCCTCCCCCAGCCCGGCCCCCTCCACCCTGGCGCGTGGAGCAGGGGCAGGTGCGCAGTTACCCTTGCAGACCCAACAGCGAAGAGCTTCCAGTGAAGGGAAACGAAGGCCTGACGTGCAGGGCCTCGCCTCCCGCAGCCCAAGGACAAGGTGGGGGCTGACACTTGAAGCCGAATGACCTGTGTCTTGAGGACGCTGGCTTTCTTTCCTGGGAAGGAAATCATGCCCAGAAACATTTCTAAAAGAAGGAAAAACGGAAAAAGACAAAAGAAAACGAAGTAGCTAGAATGGAAGGAGTATGCTCGCCGAGACGTGGGGAGGAAGCTTTGTCGCTGCGCGGTTAGTGCAGGCGGTTCGGAATGAAGAATACCGCGTTAACTATTTAATAAAATGCGTTCATTATGCAGATCACCCACTTCCTGCTCCTTGGACTTTGATTCTCACACCTTAGGAGGGAGGTCCCTCTCCTTCAGAATCGCCGCAGAATCATTTTGTATGAAGTATGGTCTGTGCCTCCCCGAGCCCCCGAAAACCACGCGCATCGATGGTGACTGCTGGATCCGTCACCTCAGCAAACTGGATGTGACCTGTGCCTTGCCGGATTGCAGAATGTAGAAAGAAACGTACTGTTCTTTTTTTTTTTTTTTAAACAATGTAATTGCTACTTGATAAGGACCGAACAATATTCTAGTTTCATGTTTAATTTGAATTAAATATATTCTGTGGTTTATATGAAAACTTTATCATTCTTAGAAGCAAGACCGTGGACTGTGTGTATGCGTGCGTGTGCGTGCTGTCTCTCACCCAAATAGAATTCGGATGAGACGTCAGGGGGTCTGTGACCGTAGAAGCCTGAAGGAATGGAGAGCAAAGTCGCGGCAGTGACGCCAGCCCCCACGTGCCCCAGAGACCTCCCGGACTGGCTGTCCCCGAGTGAGTGTTCCATGGTCGGGCTCTTCCTGTGCACTTACCAGTCCTGACTCCCTTCCCTGTCCAGCCAGAGACAGAACAGTCGGCCCCGCAGACCCAGTGCGGGAGTCCCGAAGCCGCTCTTTTCCGGTGGCGGGAAGGCACTGCCCTCCCAGGGTTGAAAGACTCGGGAGGAGCAGGTGGGGAAATAGAGCAGAGTGGGGCCCACAGTCTGGATGCCTGTTCTGATTACAGCCGCTCCCGGTGGCCCGGACGTGGCGGGCTCCTCGGGGGCTAGGCAGGGACACGCGCTGCCAGCGTCGGCTGCCTTGAACCATTCCGTTGGTGGAGTTGGTTGCCAGGCACATCAGCGACCTGTGCCTTGCCCGGAGGACACCGGCCCTGTGTTCCGCTTCAGCAGCACACGCAGTACTGGTGGCACGAAACAGAAGTGAGGCTGTGAAGTTTAACAGCCGCAACTTGCAAAGGGCAATCCCTTTTTCCTCCCAACTCAAAATTCCCTGTGCCCCCAAAGTGCTTCCTACACTTACTAATTATTAACTACATTGAAAATAGGCACCTATTGAAGCGCCTGGGGGCTCAGTCGGCTAAGTGTCTGACTCACGACTCGTGAGCGTCGGGCTCGCTGCTGTCAGCACAGAGGCTGCTTCAGATCCTCTGTTCCCCCCTCTCTCTGCCCCTCCCTTGGTCGCATTCTCTTTCTCTCAAAAATAAACATTGAAAGAAAAAACACATCAAAACTAAGCACTGGACAAACGGAAAATAAGAAAGTATTTTTTAAAAAATAGGTACCTATAAACCCATGTATCTTAAATTTATATTCACTTAAGGCTCACTCTCCCCCATCCCCCCTTTGCTGTAGACCAAGTTCCTTGCAGAAAGCAAGAGGCTCGGTGTCGGTTGCCCATCAGCATCGAGCCCCTTCCCCGGGGAGCCCGCTGTCCATAATCCGGCATCTGTGCAGCACCTCGGAGATGCCGCGGAGCCTGAGCTGGCACTCGGGGGGAAGCTGGGACACCGTGCTTGCCGAGGAGATGGCGTTGGTGCCTGGGGACCAGGAAGGTCCACGGTGGACAGTTCTCTCCAGAGCGGCACATGCGTTTTATTATTGCTGGCTCCAAAATACAACACAGACCCTCTTTATTTTAAGAATGTTTTGGTTTTCACTCTCCTTTGTTGGTAATGATCTCCCAACCCCAAGAGCTCCAATCTAAAGAAAAATGATGGTTATGCGTGTCAAAGGTGAATACCAGACCAAGGCTACTGCGCATCTTCCCGAATGGGGGAGGACCAGAGTGGGGTGTGGGCGGCTTGGCTTGCATTCGGAGCTGTAACCGCATCATGGTGGAAGCATCTCCAAGGTCCCACAGAGACGTGATTACCCCTGCTGGGAGAGTCGCCACCTTGCCGTCCCCTTCTCCTGGTACTAACACCGCCAGAGAGCAGGAGAGGTCTTGTGATTTAAACTCACGGTGGCCATCCTGCTCATCCAGGAAGGTGCTGGTGTCTAGGAAGATGGTGCCGGTCATCTGCCCCTTCAGATGCTTTCCTTCCCTTCTCTATGGAACGCTTTCTCATAGAATGTTCTAGCCCTGTGTGCTCAGGCCTTCTCTTCCTGCTCCCCTGCCCACAGCGACACCAGGGTCATGGCCCTATTCCTGACTGACACACGTTGCATTCAGGACCCATCTGTCCTGTTCTTAATCCAGCATTTGGAGACCACGGGGGGGTCAGCGCAGGCCCCCGGCGGCCTGACTCTGCTTGGTCCTACCCTGTGAATCCCCAGGAGTTTAGATGCAGCTGGACCAAGGAAATCCCTGGGGGCCCCACGGATGGACCCTTGTCCCTCTCTTGGGACTGTAGCTCCCAGTGAGTCTCACACATGCTCATAGTTGAAGGTCTGAAGGCGATCCTTCTCTGGCTTCTCTACCTGACGTCTGTTCCCACCGTTTCCCCACCAGCGCCGTGGCCCTGGTGGTCTGCATCCGAACTCGAGAGACTCCACCCTGTCTCACAGACTGTTCTGCCGTCTCGGCTCCAGGGCCCCAGGTGACATCAGTGACTCACAGTCTAGAGTCTTACATCCCATCGGGTAGCAGCAGCTCACTGACGGATGTTTCTAAACCAGTGGCCCCCACTGATATCATGGTGGCGGAGCTAGGGACGGGGAAAGATCTGGCACAGCAAAGCCAGAGGCAGAAAGTGGCCTGAGCTACCTCAACTGCCAGCCAAGGGGAGCCAGGCAAAAAGTGGGGTGGTGTCGGGGCACCTCTCCCTGGAAGCCATTTCTGGGGGTGTCTCTGTAGTCCCCTTGCCACCCACAGCCCATCTGTGTCCTGAGGCCATTCTGCACTTCCTGCCCTCAGAGCCACACAATAAATTCCTTTTGTGTTTTTTGCATCAGCTTTCTTGGGTTCGTTTCTGTTACCGACAACCAAATGGCCCCTACTTGATGCACTTCCTAAAAGAAGCTGTCCCCCTCTGCTCACTCAGGGACACAGCTGTACAGACCCCTTGTGGCTCCACGGGCGAACTTTCCTTTCCATACTCCCTGCCAACTCTCCCTTTGCGTCTCCCACGCGTTGACGAGCCATACACAGTGTGTCAGTTCTCCATTGCTACGTGACAGACGCCCACAGACCTGGCAACCTAAAACGACACACACGTATCACCTCCCAGCTTCTGTGGGTCAGGAGTCCAGGCACAGCTCAGCGGGGCCTCCACATAGGGTCTCATAGGCTGCTGTCAAGGTGCTGGCCAGGGTCAGGGTCTCATCTGGAGGTTCGACTGGGGAGGGATCCACACCTAAGCTCCCTTGTGGTTGTAGGACCACAAGGTCTGAGAGCCCTGGCTTCTTGCTGGCCCACATCTGGAGGTCCCCCTCAGCTCTTAGAGGCTGCCCACAGCCCCTCGACTCGTCGGCTTCCCCAGTGTGGCCGCTAGTGCATCAGGTCAGCAAAGACAGTCTCCAGGATGCATCTGCTGGCAAGACGGTCTTACGTGATGTGATGTAACCACCGACTGATATCCCGTCACCTCTGCCGTGTTCAACTGGTCAGTAGACGGTTGTGGGTCTGTCCGCCATCAAGGGGAGAGACTATACAAGGGCACGAACACCAGGAGGTGGGGATCGTCGAGGGTCACCTTAGGGTCTACACCACACACATGAGAACGTCATCACAAATGACACATGTGGGGCAACATTCGAACCAAATATTCTTTTGAGAGAACCAAAAAAAAGTCATCAGCGTTCTGTTTTCACCCTCGCTACTTGTATCTGAATGGAGTCTTTATGCACATCAATAAGTTACATTTGAACGACCAAAAAATTGTTTGCATGTCAGTTCATGATAGGGACCCCGCATTTGTATGTTCACACAAGGACCCTCAGAATTGAAGCCTGGTCTTCTAGATAATTGCTGGGTGTCCTCCAAGTAAATACTGAGGGCTCGCTCTTCCATGTGCTGGCCCAGACCCTGGGGACCAAACCTGAGCCACACAAGCATGGCCCTGGCTGCCGGGGAAACTGGCACACGAACCCAGGACACACAGCAGGGTGCGGAGAGGGAGGAGCCACGGGCAGGTGGAGGCGGGCCCTGCAGACGGAAGGACAGCTGGTGAAGCAGATGCCTCAGAGGCAGGGAGCCAGGCTGAGAGGTGAGGAGGAGCTGGAGCACCAAGGGCCTCGTCCAGTTGTCCAGGGCAGTTGGGAGCCGCGGAGGGAGCCATGGTGGGGGCGAAGGGGGGTGGCAGTCCCTGCGGTTTGTAGTTTAGACCCCTGCGGCTGTGACAGCAGGGAATGGACTAGAGCAGGGGCAAGACTGCTTGGCAGGGGACCCCAGGAGAAGAGCTGATTCAGGCCCAGATTTAGGTGGAGGTGGCAGGAAGGGGGGCCAGCGGACAGAGGAACACATCCTTAGGGAGGCAGAGGTGGCCCCATTTGCCGACCAACTGTCCCGAAGGTGAGCGCCAATCCAAAGGGCGGCGCTGCAGACCCTTCGTGGTCTGTGGTCGAGGTTGCACAGGTGACTGGACTGGCCATTTGGTCCCCTGCACAAGCTCAGACCTCGGGGGCTGAACCTGTGCAGGGCTAGTGGGTATTCCTTCCTGGTCCCCGGGCAGGGGTGGGCAGTCAGGCCGGGGCAGGGCTGCGGCCGGTGGACGTGAGACCAGGAGCCGGATGACATCTGCATCCCGGAGGCCCTCCATCTGTGCATTCGCCAGGCACTGTGCTAGGTGTCCGTGTGACAGACTTTACCCTTGTGGAACTTTCACTCCAGTTGGGAAGACAGTTAAGGAACCGATGATGACGTGTGATACCTGCTTTGAAGGCACATGCCCTAATGGGCCTGAGTGGGATGATCCCAGAAGGCTTCCCGGATGAAGTGGTGTTCAAGCAGACACTAGGAGTTAGGCAGAAGAAGGAGGGGTAGGTTAGGTGGAGGGAAGAGCAGACAGATATAACCGGACTTCCGGGACCCACTGTGCACCAGCCCTGTGCTTGGCCCAGAGGTGGGAAACCCCGAGAGTGACGTGGACTTAGCCTGCGAGGGGAGAGGGTCAGAGTCGAAGCCGCAGAGAGGCCTGGCCATCAGGGGTTATTCCCATCGGAATGTGGACTTCATCCTGCGAGCCTGGGAAAGTCACCGAAGGGACCTACGCAGAACAGTGGCTTCATCAGATCCGCTCTCTCTGCCTGTGGGTGGACAGTGAGCGAGACGAGAGGCAGGAAGGCCAGTGGGGAGGCTGTGGCAGTGATCCGAGGGAGATGGCCGTGGCCTGCTCGAAACGCAGCTCCGAACCCGACCAACAGCAGCAGAGATCTCTGGGGCCTGGCGGAGGGGCAGCGCGGGGGAGCTCAGGACCCCAGCAGGGCCTGCCGGGCCCCCCCTCCCCGCCTTTGGCCCCTGGAGAGGGATGTTCGGCCCTCCTGGAGCCCACTCGCCTCAGATGTCATCTCAGGCTCTTGCCAGCAACACGCTGGGGAGGGGCTCCCCACAAAATTTGGGGTGTGCCTCCGCCCATGGATCAGCGTGGCAAGGCCCGGCCTCCGACAAGGCTGCCCCCAGGTACTCAGGGAAGCACACTGAGCGACTGAGCCGATGGCTCCTCGGCCCCCGGTTTCCTGTCCAAGATCCTCTCAAGTGTGGAAACCGGGGTCCCCTGTGAGACTCCTGTTCCCCAGCCCTGTCACGCCAGCACGTGGTTCCCATCCACACCGCCAGCCCCCTCTGTCCCGGGACTGGAATCCTCGCTCATGGCGCCGGGCCGCCCCAGAGGTGGGCTCCCGGCTAGCTCTGGCGGTCTGCCCTCGCTCTACGCCGTGCGTGGGGCCAACAGCCTGGACCGGAGATCCCATCAGACCCCACGAGGGCCCAGAACACAGACGTGAGGATGGCCGACCCAGCCCGGGACACGGTGGCTTTGCCCCTGGGCCAGCAGAGATTCGCTGTGGACAGACTTGTCCATCCTTCTGGCCGCTTATTTGAGGGGAAGCAGCACGTGGACGACGAAGCAGAGAAAAGTCTCCGCCAGTGCTTGGAAAGGGCGCACAGTTCCCCGATTTTCTTCAAGCACAAGATTCCAGGGCGCCGCCTGGCCCACTTCCCGGGGATCTCAGGGAGGAGCGGCCCTGCAGTGAGAGAGCGCTGGGGACCGGCCGCTGCTTCCCCCAAAGCCCGCCAGCGTGGAAGGCAAGCGGTGGGACGCAGGTCCCGGTCCCCGCACGTCGAAGGGAGCGGGAGAAAGTTAAGCGTTGGCGCTCGGCCGGGCCAGTGTGGCAGCTACTGGGCTGGGAGGCCTTGGGGGTCTCTTTGCTTCTTTATCCCTATGAATGTCGTTCTTGGTGTTCCATGACAGGTAAGAAGAGTGAACAGCCCTTTGAGAAAAGGAACCGTTTACACTTCTTTTTCCCCCAGATTCGAACCGCCATTGCTTTTTTTTTTTTTTAAGTTTGTTTTTGAGAGAGAGCAAGAAAGGGAGGGGCAGAGAGCGGGAGAGAGAGAATTCCAAGCAGGCTCCACACTGTCAGCAACAGCCCAATGCCCACTGTGGGGATCGAACCCACAAAACCATGAGATTGTGACCAGAGCCAAAATCAACAGTCAGACACTTAACCGACAGCAACCCAGGCACCCAACCTCCATTGCCTTTGAAGAAGAGGTGCCTCACCCTGGATTTCAGCTCGGGTACCATCTCCCCAGCTTCGTGGGTTCGAGCCCTGCATCTGGCTCATGCTGACAGTGTGGAGCCTGCTTGGGATTCTCTCTCTCTCCCTCTCTCTCTGCCCCTCCCTTGCTTGCTCTCTCTCAAAAATGAATAAACTAGAAAAAGAAGAAAAGAGCTAGGTGTCATGTTGGAAATGCCCCGGAGGAACTCCCATGAAGCCTCGTGGTAAACAAACAAAGCTTTATTACTTATCTTCTCTCATTACAAAAATGGCACGGAAAATAAACTGAGAGCTCGGACCCCTGGGTTCACCCCACGTTAAGCAAAGTAGCCCCAGACAAAGATGGCACAGCTAATACACACGATGAGGTTGATGTCCAGAAGGGTTTTCACGGGGGGGTTTTCTTCCAAGGAGACGATGACAGGTTCCACTTTGCTGGGGGGCTCCTCCTTGCCCCGGCTCTCCATCCCACAGAGCCACAGGATGGCCCGTACCACTCTGGACTGCTCTGGGGTCGTGTCACCTAGAAGAACCCAAAGGAAGGTCATAAGGATGGGCTGTGCGTCCCGGAGAAGACACCAAGGGGACCAACCAGATGTGTTCCGCACATAGTAACAAATACTTGGTGTATCTCTCGTGTCTCTTGAAATGCACGGCCTCCTGAATCTATACTTGAGTTTCCCCTGTTAGGCTGATGTGGACACATAGCCACAGTGTGTATGCATGTGTGTGCATGTATGTGTGTGTGTGTATATATATATATGTGTGTATATATATATATATATATATATATACACACAGGGCCACGCGTGATGATGAACAACAGCCCACAGCCTCAGGGTCATGGAGGCAATAGGGGCTGATGGGGACTTTGGCTAATTGAAGGGCACATCCCAGGTCTTAAGGAGCCCACTTTACAAGCTCCAGATGTCAGTCGTGCAGACACATGGGCCCAGTGTTGTTACAATCTCCCCATTTTCCAGGAGAAGACAGATATCTGGAATTTTACATGCAATCTCCCGATTTTTAAATGTTAAGTCACATTTCATTAAAATGGTAGGTGGGCTAAACCACAGTATGTCTGCAAGCTGCCAGTTTGGAACGAGTGTAATTTAGAGAATGCCAGTAGTATTCCAGCCTACCTTGTGGGATTTCGAGAGGATTAGGTGAGCCATGTTCTAGCAGGCGCTCAGCAAGTGTTTGCTGCTATTGCTTCCCAGCGAGGTATCTGATGAAAGCTACTGAGGGGCACCTGGGGAGCTCAGTGGGTTAAGTGTTTGACTTTTGATTTCAGCTCAGGACACAATCTCGTGGTGTGTGAGTTCGAGCCCTGCATCAGGCTCCATGCTGATGGTGCAGAGGCTGCCTGGGATTCCTTCTCTCACTCTCTCTCTCTGAGCCTCCCCCCATTCATTCTCTCTCTCTTTCTCAAAATAAATAAACTTAGGGGCACCTGGGTGGCTCAGTCGGCTAAGCATCCAACTTCAGCTCAGGTCATGATCTCACAGTTTGTGGATTTGAGCTTTTGCATTGGGCTCTGTGCTGACAGCTCAGAGCCTGCTTCAGATTCTGTGTCTCCCTCTTTCTCTGCCCCTCCCCAGCTTGTGCTCTGTCTCTCTCTCAAAAATAAACATTAAATAGGGGCGCCTGGGTGGCTCAGTTGAGCATCTGACTTCAGCTCAGGTCATGATCTCACGGTTCATGGGTTCAAGCTTTGCATCGGGCTCTGTGCTGACAGCTCAGAGCCTAGAGCCTGCTTCAGATTCTGTGTGTGTGTGTCTGTCTCTCTGCCCCTCCCCCACTCACACTCTGTCTCTCTCTCCTTCAACAATAAACATTAAAAAAAAAATTTTTTTTAAAAACATTAACGAAATAAAGGAAAGAAAGAAAGTTACTGAAGAACCCACTTGCAAGGCTGGACATTGGGAGTCAGGCGATGCTAAAATTTCAATTCTGCCCCTTCTCTGGCTTATGACTTGGTACAAAAACTCCCCCCTGAAACAGAATTCGTCCTGGGCTTCGACCGTAACTGAGGAGAGACCACTCACAGCTGTGGGGTTTGGATATGTTTTCTTGAATCATCTCCAACTGGATGGTGGTGATGCTGGTCTCGGGGGTCCCATTCTGAGAGACCGGAAGAGGCAGGGGAGTTGCTGGTGGGAGTGGCTGTTCCTTCTGGACCATGGGGTCATGACGAGTAAACCAGGTCAGGCGGCTTACCTAAGGAGCAGCGATGGATTAGAAGATTGGGGTCCCCTGCTCGACCCCGCGTTCAGCTTCATGTCTGAGAATGTCCCCGGCCTGGCCCTGTCACTGCAACTACCACAAGCTCCACTCCCTGCACTCTTCAGAAGCAGCGGGCACTCCCCCGACGATTCCCCCAGGTAACTTCAGCAGCCTCAGTTTTGTTGGGACCTCCCCCCACCCCTCCCTCGTTCCAGTCCCCAGAGCTTATTAACCCCAGCCCGGGAATCTGGGGGGACCCGCCCGTGAGCCACTCAGCACATATATTTCTCTAGCTACAGGGACTGAATTGGTTCGCAGATACATGTGTCGAGCCGACTCCATCGATGGGAATCGGGAGCTTTGCCAGAAATGCTGGGATGAACATGTTTCTGCTATTGCTTAATGAATACAAGAGAAGATAAAAGCCTTAGAAGCTGGCAGGCCCCTGTGGTGCCTGAAAATAGAGGCAGAAATAAGGATTCTGATGATCCTCAGCCCTAAATCAGGCCGTCCCTCAAGCCTAACCCTGGATGTCCCAGCTTTTTGAACAATCGAACCCTCTTTGTTAAGGCCAGCGTGGGTCCGTCTGCTCATGGCACAGGGTCTCCGTGGTTACACAGTACCAAACCCAAATGTACCATTTCCTTGGAGGGTGGCTCCGTGAACCAGCTCACAACGGACACCGTGATCAGAGTAACCGCGGACAGAATCATGGAGAAGTAGAGGTAGTGGACGTGCTTCACCACGGCGGGGCGGTCATCTGGCTGGTCACACCGAGGCTGCGTGTAAACGAAGTCCAAGGCCAGCCGAATCAAGCCTAGGAGAAGGCCCAAGATCAGACCTGAGAAAGCACCCTGTAAATCAGAGCAAGGCCATCTTAGAGACGTCCAAGGTTAAGGGGCGGCCAGCCTGGGCCTCTGCGGACCTCGACCTCGACAAGCCGTCCTCAAGAGCTTGGCTCTCTAGGGACGGTCGATGCACACGTCAGTGATTTGAAAGGACTGCAAGTTACTCAGCTGTTTATTTTTCACACGTGACTAATCATTTATGCATAATTCACTCCTTGTTAACTCGGCTCCCCCGTTTAATGACGGAATGCATCAACACAGAACTCCCATCGCTGCTTTGCAAAGGCCGGGTGGCACCCTCCCCATGGCTCCCTCCACAGAAACGCGTCCCCGGAAACGCCACCCATGCCCTCACGGGGCGGCGCTAGCTTCTCGTGTGGTGGGGACTCGTCCAGAGCTACCTTTTCATTGGTCCGCTTCCAGAAACATCCCATGATGAAGACCACAGCCACAGGCGGCTGCAGGTAGGAGCTGATGGACTGGATGTAAATGAAGAGCTGGCCCCCCTGGCTGGCCTGAACCACGGGGATCCAGAGGATGGAGATCAGCACCAACAACAACACAAACACCCTGACAGCAGGCCGAGAGAGACCCTGGTTAGTATGCCTCCCGGGATGCTTACTGCTGTCTCTTGTTAACAGCGCTATCGGGGTAGAATTTTCACACCATAAGATTCACCCATCGCAAGTGTACCATCCCAGAACTTCGGGTAACACAATCAAGATTCAGAGCATCCACTGCTGGGGCGCCCGGGTGGCTCAGTTGGTCGAACGTCCCACTTCGGCTCAGGTCATGATCTCACAGCTCGTGAGTTCGAGCCCCACCTCGGGTTTTCTGCTGTCAGCACTGAGCCCACTTCAGAGCCTCCGTTCCCCTCTCTCTCTCTGCGCCTCCCCTGCTCACACTGTCTCCCTCAAAAATAAACTAACATTTAAAAAAAAACCCGCCAAACTGTTTTAAACAGTTGGACCGTTTTACATTCCTACCTGTAGTGCTATGAAAGTTGCTATTTCTCTGCCTCCGTGTCTGTCTCTCTTTTTTTAATGTTTATTTTTGAGACAGAGCGTGTGCGCACGTGCCCAAGTGGAAGAGGGGCAGAGAGGGAGACAGAGGATCTGAAGCGGGCCTTGCACTGACAGCAAAGAGCCCGATGTGGGCCTCACACGACCTGAGCTGAAGTCGGACGCTCGACCAACTGAGCCTCCTTGCCTTTTTGATTACAGCCATTCTAGGGGGTGTGTAGCTTTCTAGGGGTACAGTCTCATTTTGTAGATTGATCTAGATCGCAGATCCTTTGTCAGCTACATGGCTTGCAAATATTTTCTCCTCATCTGTGGCGTCTCTTCTCATTGCCTTGATGGTGTCCTTTGAAGTGAAAAACTTTTAGCTTTTGATGAAGTCTAATGTATTACGATTATTTTTTCTTTTCTGGGTTATGCTGTCTGTGTCTGACCTAAGAATGCTTTCACTAACCCAAGACTGAGACAGCCCTCCGGGCTCCAAGATGCCTTATTAGCATGTATTTTACATAAAATTTGCATACCATTCATTTTGGTCACTTCCGTTCCCCCCCACTAGACTTCAGCACCTTGCAAAAAGCCTTGATAGAAAAGCCTTCCCTGAGGGGGTGCCGGGGTAGCTCAGTGGGTAGAGTGTCTGACTTCGGCTCAGATCATGATCTCACAGTTTGTGAGCCCGAGTCCCGTGTCGGGCTCCATGCTGACAGCACAGAGCCTGGAACCTGCTTCGGATTCCGTGTCTCCCTCTCTCTGCTCCTCCCCCGCTCACGTTCTGTCTCTCTTTGCCTCTCTCTCTCTCAAAAATAAACACTAAAAAAATTTTTTTTAAAGGAAAGCCTTCCTGAGTCCCCAGAACCCCATCCCCCTTTTACCAGGCTTTGGGGTCCCACCCAGTCCAGGCTGGGGACTCCTCCTCTGAATCTTTACATCTCCTGGCTCCTGATCATAGCACTCATTGGGGTTGTAATTTCCTTTTATTTTTTTAATTAAAAAAAAACGTTTATTCATTTATTTTGAGAGAGAGCACATGAGCAGGGGAGGGACAGAGACAAGAGGGAGAGAGAGAATCCCAAGCAGGCTCCATGCCATCAGCACAGAGCCCAATGTGGGGGCTCGATCCCACGAACCATGAGATCGTGACCTGAGCCGAAATCAAGAGTTGGACGCTTAACCATCTGAGCCACTCAGGCACTCTGTAATTTGCTTTTTAATTATCCTTTCTCTGTAATTCTCTTCTCTTCTCTTTAGTTTTGTGAAAGCAAGAACTAAATCTTTGCTTTGCACTGCTGTGCGCCCGGCCACCTGGCACATAGTAGGTGCTCAGGGAACGTCTCTTGGATGAGTGACTCCTCTGCACACAGAGTCCTAAGGAACCTCCCCTTTGCCATCAGAGGAGTCTGAGCCTCCAGGATGAGTGGTTGGTGGGGCGTGGCCTCTGGGTGGGCTCAGCTTTCTCCTCCCTGGGTGTGTGGGACTTTCCACTCCCCTCCCCCGGCCCTGCCCCGTACGGGCAGGTAGGCCTTACCTGCCGACAATCATGAGCTCCCTCTCGGACGCCCGGGGCCGGATGCAATTCCAGAGGTCCATGGTGAAGATGGTGCTGGCACTGTTAAAGATGGAGGTGAGGGAGGACATGAGCGCCGCCACCATCACGGCCATCATGAGCCCACGGAGCCCTGGGGGCAAAAGGGAGGTCTATGGGCCTCAGGTTTCTCCTGCTACGGCTGTTACCTCCACTCATGACCCCAGGACCCCAGGCCTGTAGCACCAGCTGATCCCAGTCGGTGCCCCTAGGAGGAGGCAGAACTCAGGGGACCATGAGGAGGGACTGGGGTTGGTTGTGGGGAGTCAGGCGGAGACCCCTGCAGAGCCAGGGCCTGGGTTTTATTCGGGGGCTCTGTGGCTCGGTCCCTCCCACGGGCCTCCCATCTTGTCCCTCCTTCAGGTCAGGGCTCAGCCGAGGCCCTCCTTTCTGGACGCTCCAGGGGACTGCACTTAGGGGAGAGGGGACATTACCTGTGGGCAGGAGCTCCAGCACAAGTTTGGGGTACGCAATGTCTGAGCAGCCAGAGGGATTGCTGCAGACCTTCAGGCAGGTGTCTGGGTCCGCACAAGCCACTTGATCTGTGGAAGAAACGAGGCCCAGAGTGAGCAGAGCCTCTGAGCCCAGGCCTTGCCAAAACATGGCCCGACTGACGCAGGCCGGCACCAGGAGCCAGGGTTATTGTATATACCAGCATAGCTCAATGAAATAAAGGAGCCTGGACTCTGTACACCACGACCTTCTTGTTTAACCTTGCCATCGCTGCAAAACTGGGACGGTCACATAACGATCGTAGCGGGGGTCGGCCGAGATGACATACGTCATGCGCTTAACACAGTCTGATACCCAGGAAGGGCTGGATACATTGCAGCTGTTATTACCGTGACCCAAATAAAGCTGACATACACCTAGCGGCCACTGTCTCCACAGTGTCCTACATCAGGCTGCATCCCCGGATCCCCCAAAAGGGGCCGCAAGCATTCCACATCTTGCCTGCCGTTTGTCGGAGGTGCAAAGGCGAATGCCATTGACTGGCACGTGGCGAGTTATTTTCTAAATCCCTCTTTACCCATCTCAATAGCTTTTCTCACTGTAGGCTCATAACAACCCGACCACGCTGGCTGAATGTCTCTTCTCCTCTCCCTGTAATTCTGTATCAGGTCTTTTCCCTCCTGGACAGCATTCTAGTTTTCTAGTGTAAATCCATCATGGCTTCCTGGCATCTGTAGTTCTTTCTTTTTTATTTTTAAAATTTTTAATGTTTATTCATTTTTGAAAGAGAGAGACAGAGCACAAGCAGGGGTGGGGCGGAGAGAGAGAGGAGGACATGAAGCAGGCTCCAGGCCCTGAGCTGTCAGCACAGAGCCCGAGGCGGGGCTCGAACTCACGAACCGTGAGATCATGACCTGAGCCGAAGTCAAGACGCTCAACCGACTGAGCCACCCAGGTGCCCCCTGGCATCTGTAGTTCTTTATGTCTTCCTAGCCTAAGGATGAACACAATCCCAGAAGACGAGCCTAGGTCTCCGGCTCGGAGGACAGAATGTGTGGCATTGAGTAGGTGCTCAATAAATTTTTATGGGGCCAGGGCTAGCTATCACAGAACTGCTGTTTACTTTTTCATAACCATATGAGGAAGGCAGAGATTACTTTAACCATTTCACAGATAAGGAACCAGGGCGAGGGACCTGATTATAAACACCTACGTCATGTCAGAGGCAGAGCTGAAACCCAGGTCTCCTGACTCCCAATCCAATTTTTCAGAGGAGGAAGACCAAGAGAGTGTATGTTTTCCATCTTTAATGAGCCAGTCACCTCATCTGAGGCTCAATCGTGACCACTGGGGCCTTCAGAACTCTGTATGGTCTCAATGGTTTGGCACCTGCATCTGAATGACATCTTTCCTGTCACCTTGTCACCTTCTGCCTTCCTCAGCTCCTGATATCTGAGCCGACCAATGCTCCTCACCACCGTGCCAACGTCTACCCAACACCTGTCACCCTGGCTGGGCCACTTGTGATCTCTCAAGTCTCCTCTGCCAGATGGACTGAAAACTAGCTCCCATGAATCACTCCTGGTCCCCTATTCTCAATCCAAAGGCTTCAGTCCTTTTTCCTCATTTTGAGGGGTGACACTGCTTTTCAGCCCATCTCGAACCTCAGTTTACAAGTGAACATGGAGCCCTCCACTGCCTGTGCCGACTTCCCCCCCACCCCCCGCCCATTCCAATGCAGTTCCAGTGTCATGATAACCATTTAGGTGAGGCCTCAAAAGCAGATGTTGGACAGTATACCTGATGAGCTTATATATTCTATATTTTTACCTGCATTAAAACTGCTAATTTAATAAATGTCAAAGGAGACCACGATTTTAAAATGCAAAATGGGGCACCCGGGTGGCTCAACTGGTTAAGCTTCCAACCTCGGCTGAGGTCATGATCTCGCGGTTCGTGGGTTCAAGCCCCGTGTCGGGCTCTGTGCTGACAGCTCTGTTTCAGATTCTGTGCCTCCCTCTCTCTCTGCCCCTCCCCTGCTCACACTCTGTCTCTGTCTCTCTCAAAAATGAAAAAAAAAATTTTTTTAGATGCAATATTGTTGTATCTTCCTTTTTGTAACATCAGACCTCAGAAATGGAAATACTCTTGGCCCTTTCATCCACTGGGAAGTCCAAAGTCATACTGGTCTCTATAAAATTTCTCCACATGCTGTCATTTGTCTTCTCAAGGACGGGACCCTTTGCTCCACTAACATCCACCAATGGGTGTTGTGGCCACAACCGATCATACAATTGCTGCGGAAGAGAAGTAGATGCCCCCAAAACTCTGGTTCAATCCTTACGTAAAATTAAAACTGTAGACCAAAAGTGATATTTGATGAGAAGTCTTGAGCTGAAAACATCTTAAGAAAAATTATTTTGAGGGGCGCCTGGGTGGCGCAGTCGGTTGGGCGTCCGACTTCAGCCAGGTCACGATCTCGCGGTCCGTGAGTTCGAGCCCCGCGTCGGGCTCTGGGCTGATGGCTCAGAGCCTGGAGCCTGTTTCAGATTCTGTGTCTCCCTCTCTCTCTGCCCCTCCCCCGTTCACGCTCTGTCTCTCTCTGTCCCAAAAATAAATAAACGTTGAAAAAAAAATTAAAAAAAAAAAAAGAAAAATTATTTTGAGAGTTCAAAGTTCTTGGCTTTTTATGACTCCTCTGAGAAGTCTTAAAAGATAAGGAAGTACTGTCATTCCCATGCCCAGAACATCGTAAGGAGCCTCCCAGTCGGGCAAAGGTCTTGTTCACCTTCAAATCCTATGGGCTTTGCTTCTTTTTGTCCAAAAGCCCCTCTCTTCAAGGTACATCTAGAAGGAGAAAGCTCTCCCGGAGATATTTAATTATCTACACAGTTTAACCTTTGGTTGTTAACTTCAGGTTGTTTATCCTTCTCGACATGCAACCTTCAACCATGAAATGTGACAGACACAGTTTACAAGGCCATTGTCCTTGTCTGTTCAGCTTAAAGAATCCATAAGGATATTAGTTGGCTCAGCTAAGTTACATGTGGAACCAACGGCCTGGCAGATCATTAACCCACATTCAGTAACAACCACCCACATGCCTTAGGTTAATTAATCAACCATTCAGATCTGGGGCAGGTTCTTCTGTCAGAACCTCCGATGTCTGACAGGAAGGATGCTTCTGGCAATGTCAGATCCGAAAAACACAAAACCTGTTTCTGAATGCCAACATTCACCAGAGGTTCACTATGGCTCAGGTGCTACAGATAAAGACAGTACATATACCTTCTCTATATTCTTCACAACTCCATGGGGAAGATGTGGTTATTACCCCTATTTTAAAGACAAGTAAATTGAGGCCCAGAGAGGTGAAAAGGCTTCCCCAAATCATACAGCTAGAAGTATCATGGGTGGGTCTCATTCCCATTTCCAGGGCTCACTTCCAGGGCTCAGGTGGGACCACTGGCTTTGTAAATGGGTACATTTCTAGACTCATGTTTTATTGGTTTTGAGGGTGGTTTTGCTTTCTCTCTTAGTTTCCACTGGGGTTCATTTCAAAGTCTGCACCATTTCTCACTTGGATAAGCGGAAGAGAGTGTTGTCCAGACTCATGATAGCTCAGGACTGCAGCATCCTTTTAGGTGGTTTCTGGACCCAATTGAGGATTCAGGGGCACCTGGCAGAGCAGACATGGGGGAAGACACAGGAACAGGTAAGTAGAGTGGACAGGGTTCCTCAGTCTTCTGGAGGGCTTGTTAAAAACAGATTGCCGGGCTTCAACTCCAAGAGATTCTGATTCAGTAGGTCTTGGATGGGGCCTGAAAATTTGCATTGTTTTTAAATAGAGAGAGCACAGGTTGGGGAGAGGCAGACTGAGACAGAGAGGGAGAGAGAGAGAGAATTAAACAGGCTTCACACTGAGTGTGGAGGGGGCTCGATCCCACAACTCTGGGATCATGACCTGAGCCGAAATCAAGAGTCAGATGCTCAACTGACTGAGCCACCCAGGCGCCCCTGAAAGCCTGCATTTCTAACAAGTTCCAAGGTGACACTGATGCTGCTAGACTGGGGACCACACTTGGAGAAGCACTGGTCCAGGCCTTCAAACACACTATGACCACCTCACCCTCTCCACCCTACTTCACTCACTCTTCACACTTACTGCTGGTACCACATGCTAGAGTGTTTTGATTTATATTTTAGCTTGCTTTTTCCTGAGTACCAGACTCATCCATTACATTACAAAGTCCTTAGGGGCAAAGAACATGGCATCGTGATTGCCGATTGGCTGGCTGTTAACAGTGATGGTCAGGGTCTTGTGATTGGTCTTCCAGACACTGATCCAAAGCTTAAAGTGTAATTTGCTGCAAGATACAGTAACATGAGGGGCACCTGGCTGGCTCAGTCAGTTGAGCGTTCAATTCTTGGTTTCTGCTCAGGTCAAAACCTCATGATTCATTAGTTCGAGCCCCGCGTTGGGCTCTGCGCTGACAATGCGGGGTCTGCTTGAGATCCTCTCTTTCCCTATCTCTCTGCCCCTTCCCTGCCATGTGCGCTCTCTCTCTCAAAATAAGCAAACTTGATACATGATTAAGAGTCGGGCTTTGGAGGCCGATGCACCTAGGTTCAAATCCCAGCTCACCCAGCACTAGCCAGGTAACTTCTGGCAAGTCACGTAGCCTAGGAGGGGTCTAGATTGCTCTTCCGCAACCCCCACATCCAATCCATCGTTAATCTTATTAGCTCGGGGCACCTGGGTGGCTCAGTCGTTAAATGCTGGACTCTTGATTTCAGCTCTGGTTACGATCTCACAGTTGGTGAGTTTGAGTCTCGCATCAGGCTCTGTGCTGACAGCACAGGACCTGCTTGGGATTCTCTCTCTCTCTCTCTCTCTCTCTCTCTCTCAAAATAAATGAATAAACTTAAAAAAAATCTTATTGGCTCCACTCTGAAATGTATTTTGAAAACATCCATATGGATCAACTTTTTTTTTTTTT